AGTGAGATCATTGAGGGCATGTTCTTGAAGGGGATATTAGGATCCTGGTCTCCCCACCCCCCTTTGCTCTGGGCCACCATGAGGTGAAAACATTTCTTCTTCCACCTTTGCCACAATCCTAGCCACCAGACCAAAAGCAATGAGGCCAAGCAACCATGGACTGAAATGTCTGAAACCGTGAGCCAAAATAAATCTTTCCTCCTCATGAACTGTTGTTTCAAGTATTTTGTCACAGCCACAGAAATCTAAGACATCCTGTTAGTCAAGTGGTAAGAGGATGTGACCGTCTCCATTCAGAAGACTCTAGAGCTCTTGCTCCAGTACACAGGTTTCCTTTGTGTCAAGTGCTAGCCCCAGGTGCTGTGATTTAGTCATCTTTCAACCCCACCTGTCCTCACTTCTGCTCTGCTGCCCTATCACCTTTCAAAAGCCTTTCAGGGTAAATGCTTTCCCCCTACCCTGACATTCAGTGCTTCTCAAGATCAGGGCCCTGGTCCACCTTTTTGTCTTTCTTTCTTCCTGTTACCTCTCTTGTGGAATGTAAAACTCTTGTCTAGGGGACTTTCTCATTGTCTCTTTGATTGCTCCACCCTGGAATATGCTTTCACAGTCTTGATGTGTCCAAACCTTACTCTGCTCCACAGCTATCCAAGTGCCTTTTCCTGAGCTCCAGCTAGAAGGGACAGCTCCCTCCCTTGAGTCCCCTGAAGATCTTTAAGGAGTGGCAACTTTGCTTAGTCAGTGTGCATGTGTTTTAGAAAACACAAAGCTTGTGCTTGTGTTTTAGAAAAGGTTCATTAATTTTAAGCAAGATAAATTAACCCTTGTACTTGTCTCCCCACTTCCCAAACTATCCTGAGGTTTCCTCTGGAACAACTAAAAAGCTGCCATCATTAACATGACCCGTGGAAACCAATTCCAGTCTCTATGACTCACCTCTTGACTCTGTCGCAGTTCAGAGAGGGAATCTGATTCATGCATTTTGGTTAGAAGCTTATCCCTGGCTCCACCTACACTTGTGGGTAGGGTTGTGTCCACCTCGCCCAGACCTAGCCCCTGGGGATTAGCCCATTCTCAGAAGGAGCCGCCTTTTCAAAGAGAAGGGAGATACTGATGGCGAGCAGCTGCCTCAGGAAACCACTAATGGAAGTTGTCTCTGCTACTGATGATAGGGATGAAGGGATGCTGGAAGACAAAGCAACAGATGTCTACTGCAAAGTGTTTATGGAGTGAGTGAGTCACTGACTGAGTGACTCAATCATTTGTTGCCACTTAAGCCCCAGTGTATCTCCTAGGCCTGTGTCTCCAGGACTCAGTGATCATGTTTTCCATCTCTATATCCCTGTCCTCATCAAGTCAGTCTTGGGGCACTCTCTGGGTAGCCCAAAGGGGAGCAGGCATAGGAAATCTTCTGTTCAGGTAGAGAGGTGGAGCAATACATGGCAGTCACTTGCCCACTGGTTTATTGGCATGCATTCAGTGAGTTACTAATATATATCAGGCACTGCCAATAAACCAGATAAAAAGGACTGTCCCTCACAAGACTTGAAGAGTTCAGGCAAAAGTCAGTGACAGATAACATCATCAGTGCTCCAGTGAAGGATGTAGGGACCACAGGGAGGGGCTGATGAGCTCTGCTTGAGGCTTTTCAGAGGAGGTAACCCTAGAGATAGGTATTGTGGGGTGAATTAGAGCATGTCAGGTAGGGAAGAAGGAAAGGGGGAATGAATAGTATGCTTGAGGCTACAGGGGATTGTGAAAGAAAGTGATACATTTGGGAAATAGAGAGGTAGAGTGTTCCGGAGTGTGTGTTTAGGGTAGGAGTGCTGAGAGTTGGGAGAATATGCAAAAAGGAGATGTGTGAAAAGGGAGGCTGGGACCAGACCATGGAAGCCTCTGATCCTATCCTCTGGGCTTTTGACTTACCAGGGGGGCAGTGCTTTGAGAGACACTGAAGAATTTAAGCAGAGGAGCAACATATTTTAATATCAATGTGGAAAGTTCTAATACTTTGTTTGGGGAATGTGAAACATCATTGTTTTGGAAGCCAATATTGCAACAGCCATTGAATAGAATCTGCTTCCAGGGAGGTACACCACAGAATTAAAATAGTGATGTGCAAGATACTGATATGAGGATGTTCATTACTGGATCATTTGTAGTGGTCAAGAACTGGAAACAAAGTGAGTAAGCAACAATGAGAAAATAACTTAATAAATTATGGTATATTATAACACAGAATAATTTTTAGACACTGAAAAAATATTTTAGGATTCTACTGTATAACTTGGGATGATTTCCATGCTAAGTATGAAAATCAAAATATAGCATGATATGTGTACATTGTGATTATATTTATGACACAAGCAATGGGTTAGGAAACCCTAAAAATGTAGGTACTGGTAGTTGTGTAAGAATGTATACATGAGGAAAAAATGGGATGATACATACTGGGTTACCTTGAGTTGGCCAAGGGAGAAGGGAAAAATAAGGGTGTGATAATAAGGTGTAGATGGTATATGTGATATGGTCTTCAAGTTAGGAGTTTATAACGAAGAATGGGAAGCAGAGCACTGTGATTTCATATTTCCGATGAACTGCTCCAACCCCAGACAGACACCTATATGCACATTGTCTCAGTCACTTTCCTGTTACTGAACACAACATTCAACACCCACAACTTAAAGGAGGAGAGGTTTATTTGGGCTCACAGTTTCAGGAGATTCAGTCCATGGCTGTCTGGCTCCAAGGCAGAAACAGCACAGCAGAGGGGCAGTTGGCTCAGGTCTGAGAACATGAGTTGGCACGGTGGAGGAAAAGGTGCCCAACTCATGGTGACCAGGAAGCAGTCTGAGAAGAAGAGGCAGGGAGGGAGATAGATCCTTCCAGGTCACTCCAGTGACCCACCCTCACCAGGCTATACCTCCTAGTGGCAAATTATTTACTGAACTCACTAGTAGATGAACCCCCTGATGAGCACAGCAACTGGATGATCTAAGACGATCTAATCAGCATCCAAACATGCCAGCATTTGGGGGGATATTTTAGATCTAGACCACCATGTTCCGATTTTTTTTTTACAAAATAAAGTAACTATTTTCATGAAGAGAAAGGTCATTGGTGACATTTGATTTTTAACAACTTGAAAGACAGTTTTCTATAAGAAATTGCAAGTTCAGATTCCATGGTTAAAGATGGTAAGAGTTGTGGTTAAAAGTTATAGAGCAGCATTATAGTCAAATAGCGGCCTCTTGGCGGAAGGCCTCCTTCTTCTCACTGAATGCCATCCACATGAAGACAGTCAAGCTTGATGATTGGAGTATGACTGTATCATTTCAACTCTACTTGATATCTTTGCCTACTGGGTTGGCTCCTTCAGTGCCTTTTGGTTTTTGTATGGACCCAACAAAAGCCAAGTCTTCACTTTTTCCCGCACAGCTGTACGCAGTCTGCCCCATACCCCATACCCAATCACTCTCACCTCATCTCTCATCCCTTCTGATACTCCTCCAGTGCCTCTGACCTTCTCATTGTTCTTCACATATCCTGAGGATAATTCTGCCCCAGAGCCTTTTCACTTGGGGTTCTCTCTCCCTGGAACAATTTGCCCCTGAATTTTCACATGGCTCCTTCCCTCGTGTCCAACTCGCTGCCCAAATGCCCCTTTCTCGATGAGCCTTCTCTGATCCACTCATTTTAAACAACAGTGTCCAGCCTCCTTTCCAATCTCAGCCCCCTCTAGATTTCTTTTCTGTTTTCTTTTCCTTCCTAGCAACACATACATTGCTTCCTATCTCCAGCACAAAAATTGCTTCTTTAATTGACTGTCCTCTCACTTGAGTGTAACTCTCATAAGGAAAGTGTTTGCTGCTACAGGTCAGGTCTGAGAGTATTACTTGGCACATGGTAGGCATATTTGTAGAATGAATTAATGCATAAATGAGTGGCAGGTGAAGAATGGCTTGGGCAGATCAGGCACAGAAGGACTCATCAGAAGACAACCGGGCCAGAGACAGAGGGCTTTGAGCTCTGCCTTAGTGATTACCTAGGTGCGCCTTCTCTGGTTGTGGAATGAGGGTGAAACCTGTCATTGTCTTTTGCTTTCTTATTCACTTGTCTTGCTTCTTTGGGCAGGTTGAAAGCTCCTGGAAAGTGGAGGCTTGCTTTCTTCATCTCTGCTTTTCCCACTGTGCCTGATATTTATATGATATTAAATATACGGCACTCACCAGATGTTCAATGCCTTATTAATTATCTGATATTACTAGCTTATTTGACCAAGTGAATTCCAGAGTAGATTTTATTTATGATCTTAGGATCTAATCTATATTCTTGTGCTATGTACTAAATAGAGTTAATTTTGTCTCATTATAAGAGTGGTACATATGCTTCCTATAGAAAATTTGGAAATTAGAAAAAAATTGAAGAAAAGGCAAAGGGCTTTATTTTCATCACCCATAAAGATCTTTAGCATTTTAAATCTTCCGTTTAAGCTTTGTTTCTAGCTATGGCTTTTTAGCATTATTGGCATAATTTTATTTACATTTACATTTTTATAGACTGCCTTTTCTACTTAGTGTGCATTTCCTCTTCTATAAACTTCCTGGAGAGCATTATTTCAAGTAAATGTACACTATATAACCATGTAGCTATATCACAGCTCACTTAAGTAACTATGATTTTATATTTAGGCTACTCCCATTTCCCTGTTATAGTAAAGGTCATCGATTACCCTGTCAGACCTCATTTCCTGTTGTTTATTAGTCTGGTCACCTGTGCCCTGACCTTTGTGCCTCAGTCTTATTATTTGTTAGATGGAGATAAAAAAAGCTGAGTTTAAGGTGTGTGAAAGGGAGGAACTGAGCATACAGTAGGTGCTTAGTAAATATCTGGTGGCCTGGGATCACGTAGGTGCTTAGTAAATATCCTAAGGACTGGGCTTAAAACCTCTGCAAAGGGTGGCGCGTTGGTAGTCATCTGCCACTGTTCCCTGGTTGCAGGCTGCACCTCCTGCAGGTGGACTCGGTCCAGCGCTGGATGGAGGACCTCAAGCTCATGACCGAGTGTGAGTGCATGTGTGTCCTGCAGGCGAAGCCCATCAGCCTGGAGGAGGACACGCAAGGAGATCTCATCTTGGCGGGTGGACCGGGCCCTGGAGAACCTCTGCAGCTGCTGCTCAAGCGGGGCTGGGTCATCAGCACTGAGCTGCGCAGGATCGGGCAGAAGCTGGCCCAGGAGCGCTGGGCCCGAGTGCACAGCATGAGCGTACGACTAACATGCCATGCCCGCTCCATGGTCAGCGAGTACAACGCGGCCAGCAGGAGCCCCTCGCAGGAAATGGGCCAGGTCAGCTGCCCTGGGGTGGGGCTGAGTGGGCGCTGGGTGAGGGGATGCCTTCTGGTGGGCACGTGTGGAGTCTGAACCTTTCCTGGCCTTTAGCTGTCCCCTTTTCCCAACAAACCAGGGACAAAAAGGCAGCAAGGACCTTTACCGAGTGTCTGACATGCGTGAGGTATTGTGCTAAATGCTTTTTACACATACTAACCCGCCAGCCTTTGAGGTGAGCACCATGGTGAGGAGCCGCACAATGGTTAGCATACCAACTTTAATGCCAGTCTCATCCTTCCTTCCTCCAGCTCCCCTGTCAAACCTAGTTGCTCAGTTTTATTTCCCTGTGCTCCCAAAGCAGCTGATCTCTTTTGCCACCCCTATTACAGGGTTAAAGTTCAGTCCCTGCCCCCTGAGTTGGATTACTTGATTCTCCACTTTTAGGCCCCAGAGTACACAGTGCCCAGCACAGGAGCTGGTCCCGAGTTGATGCTCACTGAACTGAATAGCACCGATCTGTTTTCCTCCAGGTGGAGAAGCTGCTAATGGAAAAATGTTCAGAGCTCTCTGCAGTCACAGAGAGGTAAATCTGGGCCCTGGGTCCCAGGGCTGGGCCCCAGTCCTGTGACTAAGAAGAATGGGAGTGAGAACAGGAGGCCTGGTGCTGGTCTGGGTGTTTCCTTTAATTGACTTTTATAAGAAGCCTCATCAAATTCCTCTGAGGTATTCTGCCCCAATTTTAGGCCCTAGGGATGAGATAAAAGGCAGAGGAAAGACCTGCATAGGAAAAAAAGAGGATATTCAGGGTGTTGGTAACAAGGAACAGGTTCTCACGGCTTTAGAAAACCCCCATGGTCCCCAGAGTCAAGGCAAGAGTCAAGGCAAGGTGAAAGCTGACATATCCTCACACACACGTATGCATTGACGCAGACGTACACAGACACTCACTTGCTCATACACAGAGATGTAAACACACACTCGCTCCGTCACAGAAATACACTCTCACCCTCTTCTCTGTGTTTCACACACATAAACACGCACACATTCACACTCAGATGTGTGCACACACACTCAGCTCCACATGTACACACTCCTGGGTGTATAGCTATACTTTCCCTCACCCTTGCCAGTCCTGTCCTAGATGACAAACCTGTGTCTTGGTGCCACTGGGGGCTCTGTGGAGCTTTGGCCTTCCTGGATGGAACAATTCACAGGCCATGGGGTGAACTTGAACCTGATTCTCCATGATCCAGTGGGAAGAACACCCCCAGGCTGCTTCCTGCACATGTGGGAAGACAGTTTCCGAGTACCCATGGGCTTTGGCTCACACCTTCAGAGCGAGCACCAGCTGTCCCTGGCACTCCAGTGCCTGGTTCACAGCTTCCCACCCTCGTCTCTCTATCCCGACACCACTGACAACATAAGCCTTGGCTGCAGTGATGGCAAACTGTCTGAGAGAGAAGCCCAGTGTATGGAGCTGTCACATTCTCATGATCTTCCGCTTTTCCTTGCCTTACTTCCTAGTGACAGGGGCCATGAATCTCCATCTCCAGCACTTCTCCTCAGCCTCAGGGACCAGGAGATGAGCCAGCTGTAGAACATTCCCTCTCTGATTCTTCCCCTAGTCCCTTCTTTCTACATACCAGGATTGGAGCAGGCCCATATCTGGCCCCAGCAATGGTTCTGGGATGACCAGGTGCCCCTTCCCAGAGCCCACCCTTGGTTTCTTCTCCCCAGGTGCCTCCAGGTGGAGAAGGAGCATGTCCTGAAGTCGATGAAGGCCTGCGTGAGTGAGACCCTGAGCACGCTGGGCCAGCACTTCGGCCAGCTGTTGGAGCTGGCTCTGACACGGGAGGTGCAGGTCAGTGCTGGCTGGGGTACAGAGGGCCACTCCCGTGGTCTCTTGTGGAGGGAGGGCAGAGTGGTGTGCCAGGCTGGGGGAAGCTGCTGATGTGAACTTTCTTGGAGGATATCCTCTTCAGACCACCAAAATCTACTCTGGCCTCTGTGAGACCAGAATGTCAGAGCTTGATTGAGGCTTCCTGAGCATCTAACCAACTCTGTATCTTCTGGAAGTGGAGCCTGGGGAGGGCTCAGACTTACCCAAGGCCACACAGCAGGGTGATAGCAAGGCCTGGTATCTCCCAGTTATACAACAAGATTGTTCTCTCTGCTCTAAATCTTCTCTGCTGAATTATTGTTCACAGTACACTCAAAAGATCTTATCACCCTGAAAGACTTAAGGTACCTGCAGGAAATATGCCAATTGTGGAAGTTCTGTCAACAGAGAAGAATCTAGAAAGGTCACACAGTCCAGCTCCTGCTTCAAGGCAGGCTAACGCTTGATTTGGGAAAGACGGAGAATTTTGGAGCCAGACAGATGTACTTTCAAACTGTGTTTCACCATGGGACCTTAGTCAAGTTCCTTAACCTGTGGTAGCCTCATTTTTCCCATCGGTGAATGAGAAACCTTCCCCAGAAGGACAGTGAAAGAAGGGGCAGAAACAAGTGGAAGGTCCGTAGCATGTAGTATGGGTTAAAACACGTTAGTCCCTCCTTGCCCTTTGCATTTAAAAAGCCTCCCAGTACATAAGGTTTTCATTATGAAAGGTATTTACATGTTATTAATAGTTACAGAAATACTGTGTTGCATGTTTGTCATTCTTTTCCCACCACCAAATGAAAGTCTCCCATAAACACATAACTCTCCAAACTCAACATTTACCGGATGCAGTTTCCTGTCTTTCTTTGTATGGCTCATTTTGCACAAGCCCTAGGTCTTGTTGCTGACCCACCTGCTGACCTGAAACACCTGCCACAATGCGAGTTCCTCTGTCCCATTAGGGCTTGCAACTGTGTCAGGGTGGCTGGTCCCAGGCATCTTCTCTCTCCCAGTCATAGAAAGATTCTCAAAAGCCATGCTCCCTGTCCTGAGAATCTGGGACAAAGGGAAGGATGGATCAAAGGCTGGGGTGCTGGGGTGCTGGGGCGCTCAGACACCGGGGTACTGGGGCACCAAGGCAGGCTGTTGAATCAGTGCTGACAATCACACGGAGGGGAAGTCAGAGGTTCAAGGTGGTGTTCATATCCCAAACTGAGCCATCAGATTTCAGAGGACCAGTGGAACATGGGGGCTAGAATGGGTGAAGAAATCGAAGGCCTGATCGGGAAAAATAGTAAAGCCAGTGGAAAGGACCTAGAAGAATTTCTGAGCAGCGGCACAGATGCCAGCTGTAGTGCCATAGGCCATTTTTACGTCCACTTGCCTGGATGTGCCAGATTCAATGGGAAGGGCTGAAATGGAAGTGTTAAATTGGGTTTTGAGAGCTAGCTGGGTTTGGAGCCCAGCAATTCTTTGTACCAGGGAGCAGAGGAATCAATGTCCTTGATGCTGTAGGTCACAGAATCCTGGGAAAAGGTCCCTGTGGATGCCAGGATCCCTTTGGGACCTTTTGGCCAAAGCCCAAGGCATAGTGCTCTCTGCTTTGCCTTCATTCCAGCCTCGCTTAAGGTGCAATGTCTGATCTAAGGTGCGTGCTTCTGGGACCATCCCTATCTCCCTGGCAAGTCTGAACACCTGGCCCACCAATATCTAGCCTGGGAGCTGAGCTGATCAGCTACTCATTTATTAGGGTTTGTCACCCCATTGGCCTCTCTCCCCTGGATGGCAGGTGAGTCCTCTATATGTCTGCATTACCTGTTTTCTTCCTGGTAGTCCCCTTCTTTCCTGCCTTCCTTCTCAGCCACCATGTCCCAGAGTCCTCCCAGTCATGCTCATAATAATTTTTGACTGATCTTTAGCTTCTTTTTACATCATAAAATGTCCATACAGAACAGCAGTGACGTTAGGGAGGAACTGGATGAAGGCAGTGTAATTTATGCTCAGTGTTGTAATCATGTTTCCTAAACTAATGACTCAAATCCTATTCCTCAGGATGCTAGGAATTGTACCAGGACCCTGTATTTTCAGGGTCTTCACATAAATGAAATTAACTTCTTTACATCAGAACTTCTATAATGTGCCAGTCTGAATTGCAAATCTTCCAAAAGATCCTTATGCCTTATAGTATTTCCTGTCTGGGCTGTAGTTTCCATAGGCAAAGAATTTGGATTGTGAATTTCTAATCCATGTATCACTAGTGACCCAAATAGTTCCTGGCATAGATTGTTAGGCAGTACATTCTACACTTGCAGAATCACTATTTTTAAGTTAAAGTAAATATTTACTCATTCTGGGAAGCTGGTTGTTTCAGGAAATGTAATTTGGGAAACACTCTTTTAGTATAAAGAGCTACGCATGCTCTTACACAAAAGAACAATCTTCTCTTCTACACCCAACAACTTAAAAAAAAAGTAAACAGTGAAACAGTGCTTACAATAAGGATATGATCCAAATCTACCATTACTCTGCACTGGCCTGCCTGAAATTGTGGTATATCTAGATTCAGGCCCTAGATGAGTGATGGGCAATATTTGTGCTCAAAGGAAGTTCCTAGGAGGATGAGGAAAGGCTGAAGATCAAGGTTAGTGAGGAATGGTTGAAGAGCAAGGATGCTTAAGCTACAAATGGGTACTCTGCTGCCTCCAAGGTCCTGTGCTTTGGAACAGACCTAGGGCTAGTGGATATAAGCTACAGGGTGTGCCATGTCAAAATAAGTCTGTGAATCTGTGGGCTGCTCTGCAGTAGAATGGGTTTGCCTGTCACTAAGATGGGCAAACTGTCACCGAGAGGACATAGACAGTGAGGGAGGTTGGACTGGATGACTTGCAAGGCTCCTTCCATCATGATAGCATGTCATTTTATGAATGTGGGCATTACGAGCTACTGAACCAAGCATGGAGTTTGGAGACATCAAATCTTGACTGATACTGACTAGTTATGCAAACTTGAGCAAATTATTCACTGTATCTGACCCCTGGTTTCCTCATCTCAGTGGGTTGTGGTCAGGAGTAATAATACATAAGATAACACTCTCTGGCCTGTGCCATTGGTTTCTTCACCGTAGACCTGCTGTGTCTTAAGAGAAACCAACAAATTTTGCTGAGAGAAAGCTCTTAATCTCCTAACTGTTTATTAAGATCACTTAACTACTTGGTAGGGAAAATATTTTAAAGCTTAAATGTTAGGGGCTAACAATGGGGAATTAATGAACATTTATGATTAGTCTACCTGGGAATAAAGGATTAGCTGTATGGGCAATAAAAGGAGAAAACTTGACTGACAAAAATTGGTTTACTTGAAGATGACTTAAAGGATGCTCTATTGAATAAGTAGATTTTCACCCATATGTCTGAATTTGTGACTCAGCTTCATGTGAATGGATGTTATACTCTCTCATCTATTCATTTAATCAGTCATTTTATTTAAAATATCACCTTTATTAAAATAAAACTGATCAGAGAACATAGCTTTGAGTCTGGAGCTAAGTGAGCTTGTTAAAACTTCACCTCACAACTAAATTTCCCCTTCTTGTCCCAGGTAAAGGTGGACAACCCCAGTCCTCAGCTAAGGGGCAAGCACCCATCCTAAGACAAAGGTCAGACTAGGGGGACCAGAGGGTACCCAGGTCCTTCCTCTGGACTCACCCATCAGATAATTCTTCCCTCCTCTTACAGTGAGGTGGCCTGGTTGGGGGTGTGGAGTGCATCCGTGGAGGAGGCATTAATGACCAAGACCCCCATGGAGGGTGGTAAGAGGAGTGTGGCTGGCCCTTTACCGGAGGAGGCCTGCCATCTGTGAGGTGGTCCTTTTGCACTACATGAAGCCATTACCCCAAATGACCCCTACTCCCTGTGGATCTTTCTGGAATCACTGTGGGCAATGTAAATTTTGCTTCCAGGAAGTGGAAATGACTTTGTATGTTGCTCATTAATGAATGCTAAGGATGCTCTGAAACTAAAGCTCAAAACTTACTTCATATCCTGTTTGGCACTCAGATTTTGCTCAGCCATGTGGTTCAATATAGGTAAACAGGGGCTGCAACTAGATTAAATGAGAAGAAAAAGATAATCCAAATGTACTTGCCGGATGAGAACTAGATTTCCAAAATGTTAATATGCCTTCTATCCTGTTTCTTTAAACAAAGCCAACTAACCAACCAACCAACTAGCACACAAACTAAAGCAAAACTGGACTCTTACTCTACTCATCTTAGCTATCAGGGTCTCATTCCAGAGTATAAGAAGAAAGATTTCCTCCACAGCTATCTGCAATATCTGCAATATGGGAAGGGTGTTCTTCAGGAATTGTCAATATCTACTGTTTTTATTAATCATAACTGGAAAAACCCAAAGACACATAGTACTATCAAAGCCTTCCCCTACATTCACAGAAAGTTAAAATAGGCCAATGCGCAATCACAAGGCCTGGAATAAGGTTACCAATGGCCTCAGATGCACACATACAGTTCAGAAAACAAAGTTGTGTGGCAGATACAGTCTTGGCTATAGCTGGGAAAGGTTATCAGTCAGTGTATTTGAGTTGCCCACTGTCCATAAAGATTTTGAACATATACTCACTAAGGGGAAGCAGCTTTGGTAGGTTAATCGTGGTACTACTTTCACCGTATATGGGAAACAAATGTCCCCTTTCTCATTGGAGGGCATTCGATACCATTTCCTCTCTCTGCAGTCAGGAATTTGCTGCTACTTGATGTGAACTTGCTGGATTTGAATTCTTCCTATCCAGCATATCCCAAACATCTAAATTTCCAGCTTCCTCTAAATGCTGTTTCTCCTGCCCCAGGCTGCACTGAAGTGGCTTAGACCAGTTGTCTTGAAACCACTTGAGTGCATTGCATTCCACAGGCTCCCAAAGATTTCCCAGGAGAAATGCACGCACATATCATTTTAAGAAAATCT